GAAAAAGTGAAGGTCTTCATTCTCCTGGCTGGCAGTCCTGCTTTCCCCTGGGAAAGGCCACAGCGCCTGCTGAACTGCCCTCTGCTAAAGCTCAGGGTCTCCATAATATTTCTGCCTGTTGCTCTTTCATCGTGCGAATGCCGCATGGTCTTCCTATAACACTGCCGGCACTTTTGTAAAATATCTTCATCATTCTCACCCTAGTTTTGAATGTGTTACCCATTTTCTGCCTGGACCCTGTCGAAAAGCAAGGCTATTCAAATCAGAATCAACATCGTGTGTGGGGACATTAAATGATGACAAGTGATTCAGAGACGTTTCAGGTAGATCCATGTGCAACAATCATACGACAGTGTATGGTTAGCATGGGGAAATGAAGCTAAAGGGGTGTCTTAACTCAAGTTGCTAGAACAAAATACCGCGGCTGAGTGTCTCACACAGAGGACATTTATTTCTCACACCTCTGCAACCTGCAAAGTCCAAGATCTAGCTGAGGGCCAATGTGATTCGTGGTGAAGAACATCTTCCTGGTTTGTAGATAGATGCATTCTTGCCGTGTCCTCATATGATGGAGAGAGGAAAAGAGTGATCTTTTTCTATTCTTCTTAAGAGGCCACTGATGCCGTAAGAGCTCATCTTCATGACCTTGCATTTAACTCTAATTACCTCCTAGATGCCATATCCCCAAATGCCATCGCATTGGGGTATTGAGACACAAGTATGAGTTTGGGGGGACTAAACTCAGTACACAGCAAGGAGTAAATAGAAGAAAGCTCATAAAAGGGGCTTTTGGTCTGTGTACACAGATTGGATTTTATCCATTAGCAATGATAGGCAAGGTTCAGCAGAGAGGTATAACTTCAGAATACCACAGAGAAAAGACACTGCGGTACCTGGATATTTGCATAAAGGAACAAAAACTGATGCCAGGAACAGTGCATGGAAAATTATAATTATCCAAGAAAAGTGACAGTGAAAGTGGAAAACAGAATGCTTTTTAGTAAGTACGGACTCAGCGGAAGTCATAAAAAAGAAATTCTGTCATGACAAACTATGTCTTGGGCATGTTTATTGCACCAATATACAAAATATGCTCAGTGAACACTGGCTGGAGATATGAGCACAGCCCAAACTTTTGATAAGTGCTGAGATGTGAACTTTCCTAAAAAACGTCATTTAATTGAAAATAACCTACTTTAGCTTAAGTGTAAGGATACCATATTTTTGATGTTTAAATATTAACATCTATGACAAGGAGAGTGGCTATGAAAAATTATGCTGGCATAAAGGAATACAGAGAACTTGTTCTTGGCAAACCAAGATGTAGGACTATTCTTTTTTTTTTTTGAGCTGAAGGTGTGGCTAGTTGCACAGGCTAGTCTCTACCCATGGGCTCAAGCTGTCCTCATCCCTAAACCTCCTGACTAGCTGGGTCTACAGGTGCATGCCACCGGGCTCAGCTTAGTCATATGATCTGAGACAATTTCATATCTAAGAAGCTACTTAGATGGCTTGTGCTTCTCTACCAATAGTGTCATGACAGTAACCATAATTTGATCTTCTTTGCCATTAAATGTTCACAAGTTACCACAGTTCTTTCCGTGTACACCTGAGTTGCTTGTTATAGGTCAAGAATGAAACTTCTATTATGGTGTTCAAAAGATATTTGTATATACCATTTCTGTGTTACTTTTGACCATGGTCTGACATACACAGTGTGAAAAGATTTAAAAGGTCTATATAAACTCAGGGTGACAGAGAGTAAATGAGGAGGAAGAATATAACTTATGTTCACATTTGAAATTAAATACAGAATCTCACTGCCACCCCCAGAAGAGTGCATTGGAATCATCACAGCTCACTGCAAATTCAAACTCCTGGGTTCAAGTGATCCTCCTGCCTCAGCCTCCTGAGCAGCTGGGACAGGTGTCCCACCACCACACTAATTTTTTCTATTTTTTGTAGGTCTCACTCTTACTCAGGCTGGTCTCAAACTCCTGAGCTCAAGTGATCCTCCTCCCTTCAAAACATTCTGATTTTATTTGTCACACTTACCTGTACTATAAATTGCTTATTGTCCATGGAATAGAAGGGAGTACAATGCATTTATCCACTTAGATATCAGTTCGTCTGTGCCTCATGTATTAAAAAGGTCGTGATTTCTGCCAGTATTTCACAATATCTGCTCTGTCCATGATCAACTTTTAATTGAAGACTCTTTTTCTTTCCCTTGGTCTGTTTATCTCTCTGCTAATAGTATGATGCCCTGAATATTACAGTCTCAAAAAATTTTTTTTCTGAGACAGAGTCTTGCTCTGTCACCCAGGCTACAGTGCAGTGGTATCATCATAGCTCACAGCAACCTCAAACTCCTAGGTTCAAGTGACTCTACTGCCTCAGCCTCCTGAGTAGCTGGGACTACAGGCACATGCTACTATGCTTGACTAAGTTTTCTACTTTTTTGTAGAGATGGGGTCTTGCTGTTGCCCAGGCTGGTCTCGAACTCCTGGCCTCAAGCAATACTCCCACCTTGGCCTCTCAGAGTGCTAGGATTACATGCATGAGCTACTGTGCCCGGCTAAAATTACTCTTTTAAATAAAATTTCATAATATTGAAAATGAACTTGGTGAAAATTTGTTAGATGAGGAATAAATTGCAAGACTTTGCTGGCAAAAAATCATATTTTCAACTTAAGTTTATATATCCTAAAAAGGATTTTTCATTTTTTCAACATTGCTTTATGAAAAACTGCAAATATAAAACACACATATCTACAAATGAGTGTTTATATCTCAATAATGAAGGTATTTACCATATATAACTAGGAGATCATATTCTCACCTAATAATTCCCTAGTATCAATTGAATGATATTAAAAACTACATTAATTATAAAAAACTTAAGCATAACAGGTAAGAGACTCCTTTCCATCTGGAAGACACAAGGTAGAAATACATTTTCTTCTGTTCAATAGATGTAGAAATTACAGTGTAACCTTGAAAATATTCATGATATACCCTATCATGATATACCCTATCAGCTTTGTGCCTGAAGGCGGTTCCAGAATGAATATTGAGTCCTAGATTGCTAAAATAATGTTTACTTATAAATTGCAGAAAATCAGAAATTGGATCATTCCTTTTAAAATCAGATGCAGAAAAGCACATGACCTAGTCAAGCATTAGGATTAAAAAATAAAGCAACATCAATCATTGTCTTCCAAAAGCAGTAGCCTTCCTGGCATATATATACCCTTTGGGCCTAGACAACTAGATTTTCTGTGGTAGTTCTTGAGCTCTTTGTGAAGCATCAAGAAACACCCACAGTCAAAGCCAATAACCTGGTTCTCAGGTAGGTCTCCTTGATCTCCCTCACCATGTGCTTCCATTGTCCCTTACCTTCACTGGCCATGCCAACACAACTGTTGGAAAGTCACATTTGGAATCACGTCAATGGTGGTGTTTCTACACTCTGGCCAAAACTATCGCTTTGAATTTGGCCTTCAAGGGAGAAGGATGAGGTAGTGGTTAGATTTGGGAGTATCTAACTCTGTCATTGCCATCTCTTCCTTGATCCATGACTCTGTACAATCTGACAGGCAATGACTGCATACCATCATTCATGTGGATATATTGTCTGCAGCTGGATATGTCATCTCCCCATACAGTGAGGGTTTGGTCACTGATTGCTGCTTGTCCTGTGGTACCTGGGTTTTGACTCTAAGTTGCAAATAGGCTTTTTTTTTTTTTTTTTTTTTTTTTGAGACAGAGTCTCACTCTGCTGCCTGGGCTAGAGTGCTGTGGCATCAGCTTAGTTCACGGCAACCTCAAACTCCTGGGCTCAAGCAATCCTGCTGCCTTAGCGTCCCAAGTAGCCGGGACTACAGGCATGCACCACCATGCCCGGCTAATTTTTTCTATATATATACATATTAGTTGGCCAATTAATTTCTTTCTATTTTTAGTAGAGATGGGGTCTCACTCTTGCTCAGGCTGGTTTCAAACTCCTGACCTCCAGCAATCCTCCCGCCTCGGCATCCCAGAGTGCTGGGATTACAGGTGCGAGCCACCATGCCGGACCAACAAATAGGCTTTTCTGAACAGAAGCTTGGCTGGCACCTTCGAGGAAGTGATTGGCTTGTTGCATGCCACTGCATGACATATAAAACTAAATAACTTTTCTATATTGCCTTTTACTCTACAATGCTGGAATATGAGGACCATTGATAAATTCACATCAAGAGCATATTATCTGAGCAAGAAACGCCTGATTGGAATAATGACCTGATTTTGCTCCCTCCTTGGGTTCTACTTGGACAATTTACATAAACATATTGGCCTCATTTGGCACAATATGGGAAATTGTAAGAAAGGATTGTATACCATCTTAAGGAGTAAGTAAATGTATGTACTTTAACTGAGGTACTACATAGAAAGCAGTGTTGAATACAGGATAGGAAGTATTTTAGCCCTTAGAGAATAAGGGAAGAAAAAACAAATCCCAAAATCTAAGAGCTGGCCGTCCTTCAGACCAAGTCTTATGCTCTTGAAGAGAAACTTGCTGTATACCTGCAATACGTGACACTGCTCCTCAGTGATCATATGGATCAAGACAAAAACAAGGCCGGGCACGGTGGCTCATGTCTGTAATCCTAGCACTCTGGGAGGCCCAGGCAGGTGGATTGCTCCAGGTCAGGAGTTCGAAACCAGCCTGAGCAAGAGCGAGACCCCGTCTCTACTATAAATATTAATTGGCCAACTAATATATATAGAAAAAATTAGCCGGGCATGGTGACGCATGCCTGTAGTCCCAGCTACTCGGGAGGCTGAGGCAGGATTGCTTGAGCCCAGGAGTCTGAGGTTGCTGTGAGCTAGGCTGACGCCGCGGCACTCACTCTAGCCTGGGCAACAAAGCGAGACTGTGTCTCAAAAAAACCCACAAAAAACAAACAAATAAAAAGACAAAACCAATGCTATTGTGTAACCATGTCTTTAAATTTAATAGAAGAGTACATATTCCAAATCAAAAGAATTACCAAAACTCCCTTCTTCTTATGACTGGCAGGCAATTGTCATGAATTAAGTTGACCTCCACACCATTTTTAAGGCTTCTAGGTTAGGACTAGTATGATTAGCAAGGGTAGAATTAAGTTCACATCCTAACAGCATTTAATACATAGATTTGAACAGCAATCAGTACAACTAAACGAACACAGATTATATAAAGAATTCTATTGAGAAACCCTCATACCTTATACCAATTCAATCTATAGGTTATAGGAGTCAAAGTGTCAGAGATATTCCCATCTATGACACTCAACCTTAGCCTGATAAACATATTATAATACCTGAAGTTAAAGCAAACTGTAGATGGATCCTTAACGCGGAGCTTTTGGAGACATCTTTGGAAATCTATACCTCTGAGAAAATGACAATCAGGTGATTTTGAGGATCCTCTTGATTGGCAATGCAAAGAAATAAAAAATGGGCTGGGAGCAGGTGTCAGAAAAGCCTGTATTAATCTGTGTCCCTGCATGGTGTCTCCAAAATGTAACCAATGCATTCTTCATGTCTGATATGCTATTGGTGAATTTTATCATGGAATCATAAATAGAATGGATTCGGGGAAATCTACTTCCAAAAATTACCAACACTGACATAACAATCCAGAGATCCAACTCTAACTATAGATGTTATTATCCTATCATAGGTCTCTCTTCTTAACTCAAAGTCAATTAACTCATAGGTTCTTTCTTCTCTTTTCCTGTGTTTGAAAGGAAATGAACAATAGACTGCTTTCTAAATTTCTTACAGTAATAGCATTTCTCTCGCAAATTAATAGCATGAGTTCTTTCCAGTCTTTGACAGCAAATGGAACCAATGAAAACTTTCCCATATTCTTTACATACATACGGTTTCTGTCCACTGGGAGTCCTTTCACCTATTGCAATATACTTTGAACAACAGAAGGCTCTGCCACCATGCTGACACTTATAGGGTTTCTCTACAGTGTAAAACATTTTATATATTCAAGAGTTGGAAAAATGGAAAACTTTACTACATTACTCACATTCACACGGTTTCTCTCCTGTGTGAGTTCTGTCATGCATGTGAAATACACTGGGAACAACAAAGACTTTCTCACATATCTTATATGTATAAATTCCATTTCCAGCATGATCATGTGTCTTCAAAGGCTTGCAGGACAGGTAAAGGCTTTCCAACATTCAAGGCTTTCCTTGAATTCATAGGGTTTCTCTCCAGTGTGACTCTTTTCTTGATTTTAAACAGCATTGAGATGTCTAAAGAGAAACCACATAGTTTACATTCATAGTGGTTCTCTGTAGTTTGACTTTTCCTCCATTTGAAAGTAACTGTAACTGCTGAAGCCTTTCCCACATTGCTTACATTCATGGGGTTTCTCTGTAGTATGTGTTCCTTCATGCATTTGAACTGCATGGGAAAATCAAAGGCTTTCCCTTTGTATGTAAGGTATTCCCAAACACATATCTTATATTTGTAAGGTCCTACTCCAGTATGCATCATCATGTCTGTAAACCTTTATGAGACAAGTGAATGACTTCCCACATTTCTTACATTGATAAGGTTTCCCTCCAGTGTAGTTTCTTTTCATGACTTCGAAAAGAACTTTGATAAATAAAGGCTTTACCACACAATTTGCATTCATAAGGTTTCTCACCAGTGTGAATTCTTTCATGCTCTCGCAAGACACTGGGATGAGTGAAGCCTTTTCCACATTGCTTGCATACATAGGGCTTCTCTCCAGTGTGAATCCTGTCATGTATAAACAATGAACTGGGATAATCAAAGGCTTTCCCACAATGCTCACATTTATAAGGTCCACCTCCCATGTGTTTTACTACATGTTTTCGAATACCTCTCGATGAAATGAAGGTTTTTCCACATTTCTTACACTCATAGGGTTGCTCTCCATTGTGAGACCTTTCAGATGTTAAAAGAGAGCAATAATCACTGAAGAATTTCTCATATTGGTTACGTATACATGGCTTCTCTCCAAGTTTCTTAAAATCATCTGTTTCATATCCATTGTGATCTCTGATGTGCCTATTGTGAAATGAATGACTCATGGCGACTCCTCCACGCGCTTTTACTCTCGAAGCAGTTTTCTTGTTCAAAACACACTCTGGAATCTGGCTCAAGGTTTCTTTACCTTGACACCTTTCCTTACTTTCACCGAGTCTCTCTGCCACGTAACGTCTGTAAAAAATGTGAAGCACATTGTTGAGGATTTATTTCTAAAGGATTTTATATGTGTTAATAGGTTTTAACCTTAAATTTTTAACAGTATCAGGGAAAGTGTAGGCTTTGTGCCTTATGTTGAGTTCTTTGATGTGAATGAATGAACTGAATGCTCTGCAAATGGGTTAAGTACAGCTATTATCAAAACAGTAGTATTTATATGGGGTTTCTTAATACCGTTTACAAAGGAAGCATTTTGCAAATAATGAGCATTTATGTCATATTTATGTGTACATTTTGATGAAAACTTTCTAAGAATAAATAAATTTGAAGTTCAGCTTAACTTGTTTTTTTGTTTTGTTTCTGATATTCTATGATTCTCTCTCAGGGAAATTACCTTCTCTCCTGAGTGCAAATTACCTTAAATTTCTCCTTGGCCTTTTGTACTGATCTTCCATGTCCTGGTCTTTCCATTTTATTCCTAAATGTAAACCCAGAAAAATTATAAAATTATAGAGAATTTTTACATTGTCTGTTGATTGCACACATCAGTCATGCTTTATTTATTCACCAAAGCATTCCCCTTCCATATTGAGCAAGAAACACTTGTTTTCTAAATTGCTTAAGTGAAGGAATAATATCCTTACCTACAAAGGACAGGTTCCTAAAGGTTTCCCGCATCACATCTCTGTAGAGACTCTTCTGGGAAGCATTCATTAAAGCCCATTCCCCTTCTGTAAAGGTCACGGCCACATCCTCAAAGGTCACTGAGTCCTGAAACATTCCACATGTTCAGAGGAGATGGATGACTCTGAATAGCAGTGGGGATATATGCTCAATTCATAAGAGGTTCACATGATGCTGTGGTCTCCAAACATTTATTCTATGACCTGGTCATCAGACTCTTACTCATTGTCTACACTCACTCCCCCAACACAATAATTCTGATGCTAGAATGGAACAATTTAGTGAAGTAATAACTGAATAGGAACATGCCTCTTGTTGGTGAGTTCAGGAAGATAGGTCACCTCTAATGTCTCTCAGTACAGTGGGTCTGTAATGCCTGTCATAATAAAGTCCTACTACCTAGTGTTCAGAAGAAATAGAACATTAACAGTCCTGAGACTGTTTATCTTTAGAAACTGCACCCAGCTTTCACATGTTTTGTCACAAATTTTTGCCTTTGGGATATGGTTACACTAACAGAACATTTGGAAGCTGTAACCTGGTTTCCTATAGACCAAATTTAAGTAAGTATAATGAAAGATTAATGAAAGGCATCCCACCATTGTAATGGAGAAATTTTAAACTCTTTATTGGACAGTATCAACGAAGCAGCAGACGAGAAAAGATGGAACACGTTCTTGAAATGAATTCAATGTCACCAAGATGATACCTCTCACAAATGTCTAAAGTTCCCTAACTTCCACAGACAGACTTTTAAGTAGTCAACAAAAACTACATCAAACCTAAGTATCAAATGTCTAACAATGGTAAAAATCTTTTGAACAAAGGAGTGACAGCATGCCTAACCTTCATAAGGAATTTTAAGGCTGGGCAAGGTGGCTCACACCTGTAATCCTAACACTCTGGGAGGCCAAGTGGGAGGACTGCTTGAAGCCAGGAGTTCAAGACAAGCCTGAGCAAGAACAAGACACCATCTCTACAAAAAAAAAAAAAAAAAATTGGAAAATTAGCTGGGCATAGTGGTTCATGTCTGTAATCCCAGCTACTCAGGAGGCTGAGTCAGTAGAGTCACTTAGCAATTTGCAGCTGCAGTGAGCTATGATGACACCACTGCACTCTAGTCCAGGTGACAGAGCGAGACTTTGTCTCAAAAAAAAATTTATTTTAAAACTGTAGTATTCAGGGCACCATACTATTAGCAGAGAGATAAACAAACCAAGGGAAAGAAAAAGTGTCTTCAGTGAAAAGTTGATCATGAATAGAATAGATATTGTGAAATACTGGAAGAAATCATAACCTTTTAATACAGGAGGCAGAGACAAACTGATATCTAACTGGATAAATGCTTTGTATTCCCTTTTATTCCATGGACAATAAGCAATTTATAGTGCAGCAGGTAAATGTGAAAGATAAAATTAGAATGCTTTGATGAGTCACAGGTAAATGTCTTTTTGATGCAATGATAGAGAATTTTCTCACAAAAGAGTTTTTAGCCATTGTAACAACAACAAAAAAAGAGTAAGCCATAAACAAGTCAATTGGAATATTTAAATGTTATAATTAATGAAGGTAAAAGACAAAGTAGGAGAAAATATCTGCAATACATGCATATTTAAAATGATTAGTGTACAAGTGCAAAAATGAATGAACACAGAATTTCTGGGAAAATGACCAAAACATATTTAAGAGAAGATAAAAGACCATATCTGAAAAAGGGTCCATCTCCTTGGTAATAAGGAAATGGCCAAATAAAACGTCAAGTAGGTCCTATTTCATAGTGATCAGAAAAGCAGAAATTAGCCCATTGGATAATGCTGAGTGTTGATGACCACAGCAAACAACTAACTCCTTATGCATGAGTGGAGCAAGGATGAGCTGACACATTCAGTTACTATTTCTAGTAAACAGAACAGTAAAAAGCACACTTGAAAAAGCCCAAACACTATAATCAGTGGAATAGATGAGTAAATTGGATGGCCAGAAGCCTCAGACACTTGAATATTGAAACACAGTGATGCAAAGGAACCACTGATAAACCTTTTTACTATAATAAACTCACTTACTGCAAATTTAGAGCAGGCAAAAAGAACAGAACATAGCTAGGTAAAAAATAATAAACAAATAACAGATGTTAAAGATTTTTACTAAATAACCAAAGAGGCAACACTTGGGAGACCCTACCGACTACCCAAGGCCAGTTGTATGAATCTTTTTTTTTTTTTTTAGTTTTATGAATCTTGATGAGGATTGCAAAGATATTTATATTGTTATTATAAGTCTTACAACAACCTTTTTATTTACCCTTGTGTGAATATAGTTCACAATAAAAATGTAAATTAAGAATTAAATTTGGAAAAGAACATAATTTGTGTATGTTCATCTGGTATATAGCATGGCAATATGAGTTTTAATTCACATATTTGGCACTGAAAAACAAGCACCAGATAGCACAGTTCACAGTGTGAGCTCCCCAGCAAACAGCAGGCCACCATGCATGATGAGGAAGCAGAGCTGGTGAGTCAGAACAACGTAAGACAGACACTGGGAGGTGGGCAATGTCCAGACATCCTGCTTATGGCAACTATTTTTATGGTTGCTTTCAGAGATGTGGTTCTGATGTGGAGAGAGATGGTTATGTGGCACATCGCGTGGGAAAACGTCTTCAATGTGTTCTTTCCAATCTCTCACTCAAAACCAACAGTCAACACAGAAGACTTCCATGATCTAATGTGTGCAAGTTTTCCCCACACACCGTGAAAGCAATCAATTCTACAGTGTATGTCGGCTGGGTGTTCTCCAATTTGAGTCAATGTTGCTACTATCTACTAGAGACAGTGTCAGATCCATCAGGTTGAGGACTCAGTGTCACAAGACTGCCTCCCCTTCAGAACACCTGTTGAAATCAAGGCCTCTGAAACTTCTGACCCACTGGCTTCAAGTTGTGTTTCCATGATCTCCTTTGGGTTCCATTAATATGCTAGAGTGGCTCATAGAACTCAAAAGAAACACTTACATTTACTAGTTTATTAAAAAGGGGGTCTTAGGACCAACAATCAATGTAGGTCACAGAATTTTTTGATAGCCAGAACCAACACAGGTAGAGGATGGTACATTAGAGTCTTCACATGGGAAGAAAGAGGAACAGGTGAACAGAGGCAGAAGGAAGTCAGAGAGAGATTCTGTTTTCTGAGGCTTCCTTCTGAGGCCTAAAGGACTCCAATCTTATAACAAAAGACTATAACAAGGGCTATGGGAATTACAAGCCAGGAATCGTGGAGGGAAAACTGTGTATAAATATGTCATAATCTCACACACATGCATGTACGCAACTGATGTCTTTGGGGAGAATAGAACAGGCCTCTCAACCAGGTGTGAAATGTCCTGAGAGAACAAGGGGAGCAGCCTGGCTGGGGTGTTTCATTAAGACGAGGTGGGGAGCTGGGTGAGAATTCACTCTCACGTGCGGAGGTTTGCGTGGTTTGAGTCTCCTGCCAGTGCCAAAGGAGGGAGGGAGAATCAGACTTGCTCATCCAGGCACAAGGCGAAGACAGAGGGTTGAGGCTTAAAGCTGTCAGCAAACATCAAAAAATGGACTCACACACTTCTGGTTTCCATACTGGCATGAAAGGACATGAGGGGACATTCATGTCTAACAAGAAAAATGCAAACAAAATCAACAATCTTCTTACATCTTCTGAGAACTAAGGTCATAGGGCAAACTGCTGTCTCCACAGAGAGGCAGAACCAGAGAATCATACGCACCCATAGCAGAGACCTTTGTACATCGCAGTATGAGGTTAGGAAAACCTGAACTACACTTGATGAATTGTTGAATGCTGAGTATGGATTAGTCTGAGACATGAACAATCCAGGAAAATTCATGTGGGGTCCACACAAATATGTGAGATTTACCTCTAGAAACCCTACTACGTCTCACATTCACCATCAGAGAAAAATCTCTTCCAGCTTGTGGAAGGAGGAGGGGAAGAGTCGCCATTTTGAAATATGCTCATAGAATTTTCTTCTATTATCTTCTTAACCAGTTCTGCCTTCAAAAGAAACCATTTCAAAATGCCTAACCAACTAAGATTTTATTAGAGCCAAACCTCCCATAGCAAGGGAAATAACCAGTTCCACCCCCTCTAATCTCCTGCCTCAGACAATGGAAGGGTGAGGATGATAAGTACTTAGGAAAGTCACAATGCATGAACATAGGCTTCCTAAAAATGAGGACAAATCACAGGTCAATAGAACTATTAACTGTCCACAAAAGAAAAGGACTAGGCCTAGATGGAATCACTGGTTTATTCTGCCAAACAGTGAAGGAAGAAACACCACCAATTCTCTATAATCTTTATGAGAAAATAGAAGCAGAGGGAACTCTTCTTAATCCATGCTAGAAGGCCAACATTTGCCTAATACCAAAACTAGACAGACATTACAAGGAAGGAAAATCACAGAACAAGATCTCTTATGAACGCAGATTCAAAAATATTCAACAAATGTTAGGAAATAGAAGCTAACAATATATAAAAAGCATTGTACAGCACAACCAAGTGGCAATTATTACAGTTGTGTCAAATTGATTCAACATCTCTTAAATGTAACCAATCCCGTCAACAGGTTAAAAAACAAAAATCTTAAGATCATAGCAATAGATGTAGGGACTTAAAGAGAGCTAATACAGAGATGTTATTTAATGATAGATGGACAAAAAATAAAGCAGATAATTTTGAGTGTAGGCAAATCACAATAAATAAATAAGTGCATATGCAGGAATGCTCAAATGTCTAATCTAAATGCTCCATAGACATTTCCTAGTAAGTTTGAATTTATTGATGATCCACAAACCCAGCAACTTTTTTTCCATTGTGTAAACAATTGATGATGCATTAGCAGGTAGGGACAAGAATAACATTGTCAACAAGATCAAAAAATAAACTTCAAATAACCCAAGTCCCATAAGCAGTAGAAAGAATGAGTAAATCAAGTGATCCACATGCTCAGACAGCAGCAAGTATGCCTAAGACTGAAAAAATAAAACACACACACACACAAAATCCCTTTTCAGCATAGTTTTTTTTTTTTTTTGAGAGACAGAGTCTCACTTTGTTGCCCAGGCTAGAGTGAGTGCCGTGGCGTCAGCCTAGCTCACAGCAACCTCAAACTCCTGGGCTCAAGCAATCCTCCTGCCTCAGCCTCCCGAGTAGCTGGGACTACAGGCATGCGCCACCATGCCCGGCTAATTTTTTCTATATATATATTAGTTGGCCAATTAATTTCTTTCTATTTATAGTAGAGACGGGGTCTCGCTCTTGCTCAGGCTGGTTTCGAACTCCTGACCTTGAGCAATCCGCCCGTCTCGGCCTCCCAGAGAGCTAGGATTACAGGCGTGAGCCACCGCGCCCGGCCAGCATAGTTTTAATAGTAATATTAACTTATTGAAATTTCCAAACAAGGCAAACTTAGCATAACTCAGGTTCATAATAAATAGATGAGAAAGTAATAATATCCAAAAGATAGCTGGGTGTGGTGCTGTAATCCTAGCACCGTGAGAGGCCAAGGTGGGAGGATTGCTTGACACCAGGAGTTCCAGAACAACCTGAGCAAGTTGGAGACCAACTTGAGCAGGAGGGAGACTCCGTCTTTACAAAACAACAGAAATATAAACTGGGTGTGGCGTCATGCACCTGTAGTCCTAGCTACTGGGGAGGCTGAGGCAGAAGGATCACTCGAGCCCAGGAGTCTGAGATTGCAGTGAGCTATGATGACACACATCAAAACTTAAGCCTCTGCCTCACACACACACACAAAAAAATATATATATATAAAACAATCAGGACTCTGGTTTGTGTACAGAAGATGAGATCAGGGAGACACCCCCGAATTGAACTGTTTATTTACCTGGGTGGTGTATCCATAGGTGTTTACATTTTTATTATTGAAACTTACCATAAAACATAATTCAAGAACTTCCTTTGCTTCTTGAGACCTTATCATTTGATCCACTCAGGTTCCAACCAAGAAAAATGAAAAAGTTAACACTCATATTATGGATTAAAATTATTAAATGTGTAGACAAAGTATAATTATATGGAGCTATATTCTAGAAAGAAAACAGAAGGGAAGCAGCTCAGGTAAACAGCCTGCATGACCCACAGTTCACAAGGACACCCACAGTCTGAAGGTCCAACATTCCCCAAGACAGTAACAATGCAACCTCCCAAATAGTATTACCCCAGCTTCCAACCACACGGGCTGGTGGGTCCTCAAGCTTTTCAGTGCTCAGCACCAACGCCTCCTTCCTTGCTAGGTGTGAGCAGCTGAAATACCTGCTCCCGCTCCCTACTCCCCACAGGAAGAACCAACTGGGCCTTCAATTACCTCCCTTTGTAGGCCCAGAATTAGCCTATGTTTGCAGTCTATGGCCTCAGAATTCTGATCTCCAGTAAAGGCTATTCACTTATATTACAAGAGAAAAGGGGAATGTATATTCAAGGCAACAAAAATCTTTGCTCCCTGGTGGCAGGGAATAAATAAATAAAAGACATGGTTCCCAAGCTTGGGGACCACTCTCACTCTCCCAAGATGGCTCACTCCCAGGCAGTGCAAGATGGAAACCTGAGCAGCTAGGAAATTTACTTCTGGGAGCTCGACACGCCCTACTCTCCCCTCCTCACAGTGTGGAAAGGCTCCTTTCTCCAGAAACTCAGTTCTCACCAGAGACCAAACAGCCAGAATCAGTTTAGGTTTTTACCTGTGATGTCTTTCTTACACCAAATGTACGGTGTTTCCTGATCACTGACCAATTCTCCAACATCAATTGGGTGTCCAACAATTCAATGCTGACACCACCCAGGGACAGCAGAGACTCCACAAGTTCAAGGCTCAGTCCCACTAATCTACCCCCACCTCAGATGCCAGTGTACAGTATGTGTTTGCTATTTCTGGTCAGAAGTCCCCATCCTGAAGCTACCTGGAGGAGCCACCCGGAGTGACCCAGTTAGTGTAAATTCAGGTACTATCTGCAAAGGCTTGTTATGAACAAGAAGATACTCCTATCACTCAAGAAATTCCCACCAAGAGCTTTACGACCTCTTGCAGAAACTGGAGACAAAGATCAAATATATTTTTTTTATTATACCACAGAAGCAACTAAACTCTTAAACCCATTAACTTTTTCTCCAGGAGGCAGAACTGAGAGGTGTCTTTTTCTGAGTCAGACCCTCAAAGACTTTCTCAACTAGCACAAATACATTCTGACCATACCAACTCTGGGCATGTAAAACCAAACTGGGAACAGTTTTGAATTTTATTCAAACCCTATAATCCTGGTAAATACCTACAATCAATCTTTTGTGTTCTGGAGCAGCAGTCTAGTACAAAAAAAAAAAAAAACCTTCCCATTTATTTTATTTTATTTTGTTTTATTTTTATTTTATTTTATGAGACAGAGTCTCACTTTGTTGCCCAGGCTAGAGTGAGTGCCGTGGCGTCAGCCTAGCTCACAGCAACCTCAAACTCCTGGGCTCAAGCGATCCTCCTGCCTCAGCCTCCCGAGTAGCTGGGACTACAGGCATGTGCCACCATGCCCGGCTGATTTTTTCTATATATATTAGTTGGCCAATTAATTTATTTCTATTTATAGTAGAGATGGGTCTCCCTCCTCCCTCCTTTCGAACTCCCAAAGAGCTAGGATTACAGGCATGAACCACCCCACCCGGCCTACCCTTCCCATTTAAACTTAGATAATGTCCTCCCTCCCCACCTGTTTTTTTAACCTATGACAAGGCTAGACACACAATTTCCAAATTCATATTCTTTGCTTCATCAACTATTAGCTGAACTGAACAGGTGGAAGAAAACACTTGTCAATCAAACTTTCCTTTAGTTTCTCTCTTTCCTAAGGGCCCCGAACCTGCCTACAACCCCCATTTCATTGCCCTCCTCCCAAGAACGGGATAAATTCAGGGTGAGGACTGAACTCTGATCTTTTTCTTTTGCTAAAAACTCCTCCCTAAGGAGGCTAGCTGGGTCAGGCTGACAAACGTAAATTGCGGTGGTTTACTTCCCAACCTGATTTTGGTATGGCATTAAAAGATAAGAAGCCCCTGTCTTAACTCAAGCATCCTAGCAGATGCCTATTTGTAAATTTAAAGCATCTTAAAGCATCCTAGCAGGCGCCTATTGTAAATTTAAAACGTCCTCCTGTCTAGACCTCCCAGAGTGCTCACACCCTATCTTAAAATAAGCATATCCTTTCTGGTCTTCTAGATGAAGTCTAACTCTCTCAGCCATGTATTGATTTGTGACTTTGCCTGTAACCCGTCTCTCTGAAAATGTATAAAACTGAACTGTAACCCAGCCACAGCGAGTCCACTTGCCCAAGGCCTCTTGGCAGTGGCTCCGGGTCATTGTCCTCAAATTTGGCTCAGAATAAATCTCTTTAACATTATTTTACAGAGTTTGGCTTTTTTCCGTTGACAAGGGTAAAACATTCTCTGATTTGCTATCTGATTTTGCCATCCTCCAGGATTCTCTCTTCCAATCTTCCTTTTAATCCTGTTTGCTCCATCCTATAAATGAAAAGTCACTTTCAGTCTAACCCTAGGAATGCTAGCAGATCTTATAATTGGGGTTTTACCCTATCCCAGTAGTTCTTTCAAAGGAAGTCACTTCCTACCCCAAACAGGATGTCATTTGCAAAACAATGTCTAGAACCCCCCCCAAGACAATTAACAATTACAACCTCCCAAGTAGCATTAACCCCACTTCCACCCCACCCCCAACCACAGGTGCTTGTGGACCCCCCAGCTTTCTGGGGCTCAGCACCAAGGCCTCCTTCTTGCAGGTGAGCAGCTGGAATACCTGCAGGGGAGCCCCCCAAACCTGCACCACAGGAAGAACCAATCAGGCCTTCAATTACCTACCTTGGCAGGCCGCAAATTGGTCTTTGTTTGCAGCCACCTGCCTTAGGATTCCAATCCCCAGTAAAGGCACTTATTTTACAAGAGAAAAGGGGAGCATAGATTCAAGGCGCCTTGAATTTATGCTCTCTGGTGGCAGGAAATAAATAACTAAAAGATAAAATTCCCAGTGTCTGAAGAATCCAGTAAAGTCACTCAAACTATATGTACATGGGAGGGAAGGTCAAATTGTAAGGTACTTATATTTTATAGCTCAACAGGAAAAGCAATTGTATCTAACCCTTTCAGACAAAAAAGAGGTCATTTAACTATTTCCAGGATGAACAAGGCTCCGGGTTCCCAAATCCCTACTCCTAGCTTTCATCTCTGAAGTTCACAGACCAGAGTTATCCGCAGCCACAGTTTTCCACCATGGAAAGGAGAGCAAGTGATGTTTTGGTGCATCTGTACAACTCACCAATTTATCTACCACACTTTCTTGGGGAAATGTATTCATTTCTCTGTAACCGTAATGGAAGAGTGACTTTCCTTTTTTTTTTCTTTTTTGTTGACACTGAGTCTCACTCTGTTGTCCTGGCTAGAGTGCCCTGGCTTCAGCCTCGCTCACAGCAACCTCAAACTCTTGGGCTCAAAGCAATCCTCTTGCCTCAGCCTCCCAAGTAGCTGGGACTACAGGAATGTGCCACCATGCCTGGCTAATTATATATATATATTTTTTCTTTTTTCTTTTAGTTGTCCAGCTAATTTCTTTCTATTTTTTTAGTAGAGACAGGGTCTCACTCTTGCTCAGGCTGGTTTCCAACTCCTGACCTTGAGCAATCTGTCTGTCTTGGCTTCACAGAGTGCTAGGATTACAGGCGTGAGCCAAGGCGGCCCGGCCCAAAATAATCTTTATCAAACAAACAAACATTATTAGTTGGAGACCAGCCAGGGCAACACAGCAAGACTGGGTGTGGTGGTATGTACCAGTGAGTGGTCCCAGCTACTTAGGGGGCTGAGGCAGGAGGATCGCTTGAGCCCAGGAGTTCAAGGTTGCAGTCAGCTATGATGACTACCACTGCACTGCAGCCTGGACAACAGAGTGAGACTCCGTCTCAAAAACAAAAAACAAAAACAACGAAAACAAAAAAGAACTCCTTATTAGTCTGTGGGAAAATGATAAACAATTAATACACTGCAGCTGAATGTAATGTAGCATAAGGGGCAAATAGTTGATAAAGTTGTTGTGAGTGGAGAGTAGTTGGTGTTTGGAAAGGCGGGGGAGGATCTGGAAATTTAGGGACTTATTCCCAGCGCTAGGAAGAGCGAGGCTGGGGTTTAAAGCCGTAGGTTTGAGACCCAGCTTCATAAATGTTCAGAACACTCTGAAAAACAGGGGAGAGAAGGGAGGGACTGGGGGCCCCCAGACGGCAGGCCCTCACACGCACGACCCCACACGCCCTCCCGCCGCCACCGCACAATGTGGGGACGCGCGGGGCTGCCCAGAGAGGGGCCTGGGCCTGGGCCGGGGTCGCCGCGCAGGGACCGGACGGGACGCCCGGGGGCCCGGCCCCACCCCGCGGGCCGAGGGACCGAGGGTCCAGCAGCGCCAGCGGCGACTCGGGCCCGCAGACTCCGGAGCGCAGCGCGGGGAGGCCCGGGTCCCGCCACAGCCGGTTCCGAACGGTTCCAACCGGCCCCTCCTCCAGTCTCGGGACCCCACTCCGCACTCACCATTTCTCGGCTTCTGGGTCGTCCCCAGGTCTCCCTACGCCTTTCGCGGTCAGGTCACGGCTCGAAGTGGGACGCAGCGCAGACCCGACGCCAGGGCTAAAGCCCTGAGATTTTGTGGAGCTTCCCGCGCTCGCCTCAGAGGCGCCTGATTGGACAGCTTGCAAAATGCCGCTGCTGATTGGATAGCCCTACCGGCCCCACCCACTAAGGGCGGAGTGAGAGGATGGGGCGTGGCGGAGCCACAATGGAACCAGAGGGAGGACCCGATGTCCTCTTGAATTTTGGACTAGTCGTGGCCAAAGCTCTTTGACACCTTATCTCTTAATCTATTTCCACCAAGAAAA